GTAGGTTTTTTGAGTATAAGGGTGTCTTCCGCAGGGTGTATCGGTTCAGTTTCTTATGTATTTCGTATTTATCACTCAGAAATGTCTCTGTGCCAAAGGAGAAATGGGACATATTATTTTTAAAAAATCCAGGAACGTTCCAAACTTCAACTAGCTCCCAGATTCAACATCACAGACACTGAAAACTTCTTACCAAACCATTTTAAAATCGAATCAATATTTAAAAACATGATTACGTTAAATTATGTAGATTTTTCTCCAGTTTTCAGGCTTTCAGCCGCCATATTAGATCAGCCATCTTGGATTTCAAAACGGGACACATGACTTTCGAAAGTACTAGTAAAGACTAATTTTTTGAGCTATCGAACGTCTTTGTAGGTCGCTTCAAATTTTAGGCAGACAAGTGATCCGGTTGACGTGAAACGTCCCATATACATATATATTAATTCCGTTTTATTTTTAGGCTTTTATAGCCTGTTTTGCATTTCGGTACAATGCAAGGTTCTGTCATCACTTCAAATTACAGAACGCGTGTATGTTGACGAACTCGAGTCTGTGAGTAATCTCAAAGAGCCAGCTATGCTATCTGACGCAATGAGGACAACATAGGTTACGTTGGCACTTTCAAACCGACATCCCTCGATAGCAGCGACATCAAAAAGTGACTTCGATATTGGAGTCACCCCCACCACAAAAATCGAGTTGAGAGACCTGTATGTAAAACCATGGTCCAACCATACATCGAGGATAGGGCGGATCGCATTACGTGTCCTTGCTCCCGCCAGTTGATCATCTTGGAGATATTCCGCCCATCACCGACGCATACTCGCTTCCTCCTCAGTCTTGATATCTCTCTCCGCGTCGATCGTCCAATCATCTCCTCCTCTCAGCTCCTTAATTCTAGTGTACACTATTTTACGGCATTCAGCTACGAAAAAATATGGTGGTATTTTTGCTATCATGGTTGCGGCGTCCAACGACACTGTACGGTATGCAGACACCACTCTCAACGCCGTAACTCTCTGGGCCCGTCTCAAGGGAAGCTGTCGACGTCTCGCAGCCGCTGAATCTTCGCTCCAATTCGGAGCACCGTATAGAATAATTGACATCACCACATAGTAGTACAGACGTCTTTGGAACTCATTAGAGCCCTTCAGGTTGGGCATAAGGCGACAAGGGCCCAAGGCCCTCGCTATCTTGGCCGCTTTAGTCTCGACAAATTTGTAGTAATGACAAAATGTCTAGCCACTATCGACCATTACACCGACGTACTTCATGTGGTCCTTCAATAGAACATCGACATCTCCAACTCGAATGGTCAATCCACCTTGAAAACGCCGTCTGCCACCAAAAAACACAGCTTCGGTCTTAACCGCGGAGATTTTTAGGCCCAACTTCTTAATTCTAGCAATCATCTCTTTCATTTGCCTGCCAACCAGGTAGCAAGCCCCAATTATGTCATTGGCAATGATGATCACCAGGGTGTCGTCAGTAAAACAAATGATATAGCAGTTCTTGTGTAGTCTTATACGGAGAATGCTATCGTACGCGATTACGGGTACCCAAATTATCCGGATACCCGTATGGAACCGATCCAGATCCATATACAACAGATAACCGGGCAAGCGGGCGGGTACCTAGTTATCCGGTTGTTTTTCCGAGCTCTAAAGGCCGTGGCACATAGAAAAACTTAAGCAGTAAAACTTAAGCAGTAAGGATATCAACGGATGGATTCGCTACTGCTTAGGACCGTGTCTTAAGTTCTTGACTGTGATTGGCTGATTTGCTTACTGCTTAAGTTTTACTGCTTAAGTTTTTCTATGTGCCACGGCCTTAATATTTATTCAACAGTCAAAATAAACCGCCATAGAAAACGTCATATCCGGTTTGACCCCACGACGGCACATTGTCCGATCTCTTGTTAAGAATCTCTAGGCCGTACATGCGCTTTATCCTCTTTTATGACGCGGACTGATTTTCACGTGGTATGAGCATTCCAGTACTATATGTCGATGCTAACAACTTTGATTGCGATTAAACTTCTAGGCGTATCCCGTTTAAACACGTAACAATAAGACATCGTTCAACTGGACACGCTCGGTTCGACACGTATATATTGGACACCGCACAATTGGACACGGCACGAATAGACACTGCACGATTGGTTCCACATGGGTTTTCAACTTATCACGTGAATCGAGGTCCACCCACACCCACTCGTGCCTCGCCTACATGTGTACTGTCTATGCACAAATATCAGTGAACATATCACGTAAATGATAATGATACCTAACCTAATCTAACTGTACAATGATAAAGCGGTGTTTAATTGTGCGGTGTCCAATTGTGCGGCGTCTAATTGTAAGGTGTCCAATTGTGCAGTGTCCAGCTGAGCGTGTTCAGTTCAACGGTGTCGTTATGTGGTCAAACGGGTGCTACTCAAACTTTTCCGATACATATTGTAGTTATAATATACCAAAATACTCTAAAATAGCCCATTTTTGCAACTGCAAATATATCTCAAAGTCGTAACGTAAGAGAACAATTTGGCAAACGGAATCGTTTTCTGTCAAAAAAGTTATTGAATACTGTAAGGTTTGTTCTTATGTTTTTTTTTGTTGAACCAGTGTGTTTTTACTTCTCGAATTTTTATAGCATTAAAGTGATCAGCTTCTCTTATAACTTAATACACCATAAAAATATTAATTTTGGTAAGTTTGTCGAATTTGCTTTTTCCTACTCTGCTTCTATTTTTCTCCGTTATTTTATAAGTACTTCTTTTTTAAGAAAATAACACAGTAAACAACCTTTTCTTTAGCTATCAAAGTTTCAGTAACGGAGTGACGTCATGCACAAAGTAACTAATAATAAAGCGTTTTCTCAAGTCACGTAAAAATTTTACATTTTTATTAGCTTTTTCTATTTATTTTAAATTATTTATTTTGGAAAATCTTAAAAGAGTTTGGAAATAATTTTTTATAATTTATTTTTTCGACCAAAATATAATTTATATGACTTTTTTATAATACCCTATTGTATGATTATAATTGTAAATGTCATTTATAAAATGCGTGGACGGAGAAGGGGCTCTCCTGTATTCGAAGAAACTAATCTAACCTAATCTAACCGTACAATGATAGACCTTGTTTCGCCCTGTAAGCAAGAGCTAGGATGGACTTCGCTTTGCGTGGATGATCTCTGGACAGCATTGTACTCTCCACATAAAGCGAGATCCACTCCACCCCTGCTCACAATAAAGTGAACAAAGTTTCACGAGAACCGAAATCCACCCCCACCCATCCCTGCCGCAGGGAGGCTATTGCTCCTCCCCGACTACATGTGTACTATATCTATACACACATCAGCATATTACTTCCCTTAGCATTGATGCAAACTGTTATATTTCTCACAATCAGTTACATTTGTTAATAACTTCTTAACAAACAATGAGCGCCGGCTACAACCTTTTGAATGTTGTTCAAGGTCATGACCTTGACAACATGACATATGTCAAGGTTAAAGCCATTGAATCTACCTCCCCTAAACAAGTTTTTGCCATTTTACTCAATTACTTAAAAAAAAAAGATAAAAAATTTTATTTTATATACCCCAAGGGGCCTTAAAGGGCGTTTTAAAAGGACGTACCCAACCCTAACCTCCAATTCATCCACTACCTTACTCTTTCCTCCTTTGGACCAACGGTTTAACGTCTCTTCCGAAAGACGGAGCCCAATTTTCTCCGCATCTTGCACGGAGGAGCGCGGTTTTTTCGGAAAAAAAACTTTTCCATGATTCATGGCTCTAGTGGACTCGAACCTGGTTCCTCAGATTACGAGTCTGGCGCTCTACCACTAGACCACACCTCTGCCCTTACTCAATTACTTATATCAATTATTTTTTATTTTAAAAATTGTATACAAGAAAAATATAAACATATGCAATGATTTTTTATGATATAATAGCCTTTTCTATAAAATACAATCATTATTATTATGTTAAAATGGAATCATATAAATTTTTTAATTTAATTTTCATTCTGTATTAAAGTAAAGTCATCATACAATTAATAGTCTATATCTACATTCACAAAGTATTTCATATTTTAATGACATTTTAATATAAAATAAAATTTCATAAAGTATTCATTTTTCCGTGATCTTACTTTAATGTTTGTGTATGTAGAATAATAAGATTAATTGATGTAAAAAGATACAAAATTACATTTTAAAAAATATTTAAATGTTTATTGCAAATTATATGCGTTAGTTCTTTCTTTTCTTTCTGTGACATTTGTTCACATTTCTAACATCTTTTTTCCTAAAATAAGAAAAATTGATTAATTCATATACTAAAATGGATTATTTTGTATAAGCCGATATGTTGCTACGTTTAAAATATAACAATCTATTTTTAAATTACAGGTATCCTCCGTTTTTTGAAAGTTCGCTTTATGTTACTTTACTTTTACGAAAGACCTACATTAGTACCTGTTTTTGCTAACTAAAAGATATCCGAAAAGGATTTTCGTTTTTACAAAAAAAATGTTTCCCATATAAATTAATAGTAATTGTTTTTTACTTTACACCATTTTGGCTTACAAAAAGTTTCATAAGAACGCTCTACTTTCGGATAGCGAGGGTAACCTGTATTAGAGATTAGAAAATTTTATTTACATTAAAAATTAATTTATATCTAAAAATTGCATACCAACATGTATGTCAAACTTTTAATCTTTATTTTTTACAATTACATAGGGTAGGTAGTCTAACAATGATCCAGTAGTACACTATGAACCATTGCGATATTTTATAAATGTAACGTTACCAGATTGTGCTTGTCAAGAAACAACTCGCATTTAAATCCTTCTTCGGCTCCCCAATCGGCTGGCAAATCGCGCGAAGGACGGTCACATTTTGTGATTTTTGGGTGACAAATTAAGTTTTTTTTGTAAGTTTTACGTATTTTTTAAGTTTTTGCTGTTATATCTATTATTTTTTTCATTATTCTACAATTTTGTGTGTATATTTGACTTTATAATTCTGTAAGCAACTTTCTTCTATTGCATTATTTTACCGTATGTTTTGAAAATTATCGTAAAGAATGTTATATGGTCTACAATGAACCGTTTTGTTTTTATTCTATAGTTATCTGTGTTATAAGTTTTATTAAACTAACTAGTTGCTACAATAAATAATAATCTAAGTGAAAACAAGTCTGATTAAAAATAATAATTTTGATTGTAAGTTTTAAATAATAAAAACAAAACATATATAATTAACAATAAGAAAACTTTTTTGTGCTTGTTCGAAACAAAGGCTAATAAAAGAGGGATACGACCTATTTACGAGCAAAAAATGGTTGTTGAGATAAATTTCAAAAACATGTATAACATTTATTTAAATAATTGACGTTTTGAGCCGTACTTGGTTTTCATCAGAAAAATGATGTCAATAATGTATGAAAATAATTCAAATATATATGAAATAACCTACATTGCGGTCACATTTAACGCAAGCAATCAAAAACAGAACACGTCATACCGCAATTACAAAGTCAATAATTAAAATTGATAGCACGCTTTCTTCATAATACTCTGTCATACTCTGATGATTTTTTTTCATCCAAGGAAGGAGGAAGCATTTTATCAATTTTAATTGTTGATTTTATAATTGCGGTATGACGTGTTCTGTTTTTGATTGCTTGCATTAAATGTGATCCCAATCTAGGTTTCGTATATATTTGAATTATTTTTATACATTATTGACATCTTCTCCCTGATGAAGACCAAGTACGGCTCGAAACGTCAATTATTTAAATAGATGTTATAGATATCTTTGAAATTCATCTCAACAACCATTTTTTGCTCTTGAATGAATAGGTCGTATCCCCCTTTTATATATGTTTGGCGCTCGTCTTTGTAAATAGTTTCGTCAGTATTAGTAATAGTATTAGGATTAGGATTAGATTATCGGTATATTACCATATTTCGATGACTCGCGCGAAACGTCGGCAGATCGCTCGGATCTCGGATCGATATCGATATTTCCGCGACTCACTAATCGGTGCTGCCCTCGCGCACCTTACGAGGGCACCCGCCGAAAAGGACAAACTGCTCGCTTGCGGCACATTATAGGACCGCGAGCACTCTCTCACCGTCAAGACGTCG